AAGAGCAGGTCAGGACAGTGGGGCTCAAGACTCTCGGTTAGAGGAAAGAAAGACATACCCTTTAGAAACTAAAGGAGAGGAGAGAAGATAAGAGCATGCAGTCAGAGAAGTACCTTCGGGTATAGAGGTCAATGTTTAAATTCATGCTTTCACTTCGGCCTGTTTTAACAGTACGTTTAAAGTCTTTAAAAGATAGACAAAGACCTTGAGTCAGTTTCTAAGTCATTCTGCAGCTCTGGCTAACTGGTGTCTCTTAGAGCCTCTTCTATGGAGTCTCCTGTGCCCTGTTGCTATTTACCACACTCCTCCAGGCTCTACTGGCCTAATTACACCTCCTCACTGAACAGTCTATCACTGTTCCTGATGCCTGTGAAGTTCAGCAAATTCATCTTCTTTGATGGTCTTTCTGAGCTTTAAAATGTTGACCACTTATCCCTTCTCAAACTCTCCAGGCAGGACACTAAATTTCAGAACACTCTCGTACTTAACAGTGAAATTCTTCAAACATTAACAAACTATATGTTGCCTATGCATCATGAAGATATTATCATTTAATATTCAATAATCTTTGAATCTTTCCTATTAGATAAAGCTTAAGGCATACCATGAAACTACTTCCTTCCTTTTGATCAAAGTAATGCTACCACACAGCTGTGTCAATGAATGCAATAAGGCAGTTTAATTTTTTTTAAGAAGCCAAATCAATAAAACTTACAAATGACCAGGTGCTTTCAGATTCCCTGGATTTAGTAAGCTACAGGTTTTAGACCTACAGGCTTAGAGAAATACCATAGCAGTTCCATCCCTGTAGACTTCTGTGTTCTGGTGGTATTTAATTCAGAAAAGTGAGTGGAAATGTAATGTTGCTATTTTCAATATTTTGACCATTATTATATCAGTGGTAATAACTACTTTTTCTACAGTGTCACCATGCTCCATTCAGTTTTGTTTGTGATTGGCATGGCTACCTCAGAAATAGTTATGACTACTTCAGATTATAGGTTGATTTTAACAAACAACTTGGAAGTCAAACTACCTTTATAGGTGGACTCTTTTTTAAACCACACTGAAATGTAGCCTAAATCAAAGTTTTAAAATTAAAATTGAACATTAATGATTTAGAGGAAGCAGTGTAGTCTTTGGGGAAAAACTCATCTTAAGATGAAAGGATCTGTCAGATTTCAAAAAGAAAATGTTGCTTCAAATGGATATCAAACCAAGTATCTATGTCACACATACCATCACCACAAAAAAATTTATAGTCTAACCATAGTATATTTTCCCACGCAGAGAATTTATAGTGCTGCTTTAGACAATACCAACACCAATTCCACAAAGGAAGATAATGGCCAACCTTTCCCTTCCTGTTTCTGAAAATGTGTGTGAACAGGCTTCTCTGACCACGCAAAGCCCCTTCCTTCACCCACATCTTCCTGAACTGGAGAGGCAAAGGAGAAAGGAGAGAGAGGAATGTGTTCTCTTACATAACCACATCACTAGGGCCGGAAGCAGTGCGCGCAATGAGAGAAACATTTTCTTCTTAGATAAATGACTTTCTTCTTCTCTCACCCTAAGAAGAAAAATGAGTTTCCCTAGTGGGTTCACCACATTTTCCTGTGTTTTTCTATCCTCTTCTGCCATCATAAATTTCAGCCAGTACTTCTTTACATTATTCCTAGTTGGGGCACTTAATGGGGACAAGTTTCACCTTTACACATAAGAAGGGATCAAGTATGGAGTGTTTAGGAACAATTGATTTTTGAAAACTAATAGACCATTTAGTTATTCTAAGCAAAACCCAGCTTTTGTTGCTTTTTAGCCCAGTGCCATTAAAAATGGCTTTTTGGTAAGTATTTACCTATAAGTTTAAATGTTTTTTTGCATATGTTTAGCCAAAAAAAAATTTCCAGTGAGTGTGTACTTACTCTGTGTTGACTTTGCAGTTTGTGATAGCAGTGCAAACTTTGCAAAACCATTACCACAGGCATTAGCTCCATATAAATCCATGAATTCTTAAACACTTTCATTTTTACATTAGGGCAACATATCTGACACAAATACTTTACTTTCTCAAAACATAATCTTGCAGTTTTACTTTTAAAATATTTACAGTGACATAACTCATTCCACAGAATTAGACCATGTATCACTTATAAAAGGATAAGAGTTATTCAATTCCACTCAATTCAAGCCAGTATTTTATATCCTTTTCACATTTTTCAGATCTATTTAATAGCAGATACTCATGGTTGGTATTTGTGAACTAAAGTGACTGAAAATATAGTCATTAATCAAGGACTAGTATTGCAAAATTTCTTAATTAGATGAAACCAATTATGAAAATATTAACTATTTGTTAGAAAATGCTCACTCATTAAGGTTTGATACAGCACATATTTGTTTAGCCACGAGCTATTAAATGGGTCAATTGTATTTTGATTTCATTAATGAGAACTTTGAAATGGGTGAATCTCCGTTAAAAAAAATAAGGCTGTTTTCATCGAAGAACTCACTATTAGTTTTGGTTACAATGGAATGATGACTGGCATGGACAAAAGCACTTTTTAAAGAAAGAATTTTAACATCAAATGTAATATAGGTGTTTAAAGCACTAAGCATGGGCAGTAGTATTCTGTGGGTTTAATTTAAAGAATTTCTAGAACTTTTCTTAAAAACCAAAGCCAAAGTTTTCAAAACAACTAGACTTTCAAAGTACAAAACAGCAGCCAGGCCGTGGTGGCAAACACCTTTACTCCTGGCTCACAGGTGGCAGAGGTAGGCATAGCTCTGAGTTCTTGACCAGCCTGGTCTATAGGGTGAGTTCTAGTACAACCAGGGCAACATAGAGAGACCCTATCCAGAAAAAAAAAAGGAAAATGTATGAAACAATTTTTCATACATTGTTTAGAAACCTAGAAAGAAAAATTAGCTGCACTTTGTGTTTTATTTAATGCCCTGAAACTGAATCATCACACAGGTAATACAAAATAAGTAAAATAATATTACTTAGAAATTAAAGTTTAGAAATAAGCTTAGAAATCCATCACCTTAAATTCTAGAAATCAAATAAATCCTGTAAATTTAATTAGAGTAATTCTCAACATGGTCCCAAGAGTGTAATAATGGCACGGATATCATGGGGGTAGCCAGTTACATTCTGATTGCATCTAAAGCCCACTATAGGAGGAAAGGATTGTCCAATACCATAAATCTGTCCAACAGCCCATGGTTGTGGCGTTCACAACCTCGTGGAAGAACCTACTATGAGGATACAAAATTGACATGGTTTCAAACTTGCCTCTAAATGCATTTCTCTAACTCACAGATTATTGCAGCTGTCCAACATTATCGAGAAGTTTCTTTGTGTAGTGGGCTGGTGATTAATAAAGAAACTCACAACTTGTCCAGGTGTAGAAAATACATGTTTGTGGACTGTTCGGCTGTAAATGGGACACATGTAACAACCCCTTTCACCACGGCTCAGGAGCCAATGCAAAAGAGAGGGTGGAATGTTTCTAAGAGGCAGAGGTTAGGGAAGACTGGAGCAACGCACTGTCATCTGGGCATGACAGACCACCATACTCATGAGCTCATGGCAGCTATGATCACCTGCACAAGAGCTTCTTGAGATCAAGCCAGTCAAGACTCTAGCATGGGGGCAATCAGGGATTCACAAGCTTATCCATGTAACTAAGGAGTTATTGATAGTTGACTTCTGAAGGAAGGAGAGTTAGTTTTCTTTAAGGGTGTGGACCTGGCAGGTCAGCTATGCTGCACTGGGTAGCCCTATACTGTACAGTATGGAGCATAAAATCCTGGATTGTGTGAGTCATTAAAGCAAAGGACAAAGTTGGCAGGGGTGGAGTAATGAATCAAAATGCACTATATGAATGTAAGAAGGTCTCAAAGATTTAATACATATATTGTATTTTTAAATGTTTTCACTTCTTTGCTGTTTGTTTTGTGTTTTGTTTTTCGAGACAGGGTTTCTCTGTGCAGTTCTCACTACCCTGGAACTCACTCTGAGGACCAGGCTGGCCTTGAACTCACAGAGATCCTCCTGCCTCTGCTCTTGAGTGCTGGGATTAAGGGTGTGCACCACCACTAACTACCCAGCATAGAAGGTATTTCTGTTTTTGTTGTTGTTTGATATTTTCACATTTTTTAACCCTGGAGTTGGAGATACGACTCATTGGTAGAGAGCATGTACCTGATATGTGAAATTTCCAACAATGCAATAAATAAACTTGTCTCTGAAATGTAGACAGAGATGTTTTAAAATTTGATAGGAAACATACATATAAATTGCTAACAATAGGAAGAATTACATAATTTGTCCATCAAGATGAAGTTTTTGAGGATACAGAGAACCCAAAGCAAAGAAATCGATGTAGGATTGCTATGTGTTCGGATATTGACTCACTGTTTTTTTTCTTTTAACTTTTTTCAACTTCCCAATTACTTAGTAAGTGTTATGTTTTATTTTTTTAAGTATATGCAATATAGATATCGCCTGAAGCCAGCAAACACCTCCTATATTTGTAATTCATTTGGGTGGCAATGATGCTGATGTCCTTATTCATATATTGTATCCTCTTATTTTGCAGTTTTGCTAAAGGGAGGAAAAAGGGAAGAAGAGAAACCATTTCGAGACTGTGCAGATGTATATCAAGCTGGTTTTAATAAGAGTGGAATCTACACGATTTATTTCAATAATATGCCAGAACCCAAAAAGGTAAACTCGGAAGTGCGCGTTTATGCAATGTAAAGCAGATTGCTGTACAATCAAATGAATTTGTGAGTTTGCTAATCACAGTATGTGTTGTGCACACACGCACGCACACACACACACACGCACACACACCCCTCAGCTGTGCTCTTCTGTTCTCAGAGTCTGTGTTACTCTGCTCCACAGGCGAAGAAAACCCTATTTTGCAGTCATCCTCTAACTTCCACTCTGTTAATCATATAAATTATATTTTCTTCCATTTCTTGGACATCATAATGCTCAAAAATGTTTGCTCACACAAGTTACATGCTGTTGCCACGTTGACTTCCAGTGCATGGGGAACCATTAGAAATCATCTTCTAATGTCCCAAGATGTCGGGGGGCATATACCTTCCAGCGTACAAAGAGTCCAAATCCAGCTACTTAAAGAATTTTTGATCCTGTTGAAGGGCGAGAAACGTACCCTAGATTAACGCACAATTGTGAAAGGATACTTGCTTGAGTGCAAGTTGGAAGAACAGATTCATCTTTGTGTCCATCGGTGCCCGATGTAAATAGCAGTATCTTGCTATTCTTTCTTTTAGAGAGCCCCTCCATACTTGTCCATTAAGTCATCCTTTTTGTGCCTCCACTCACTACAATTAACGAAGTGGCCTTCATTTGCCAGTCACGGTCTAAACACAAATACAAAACAGTTCCACGTGTGATAGAGATGACAGGCGTTGACCAAAAGACAGAGGCAGCAAGGACTATAGAAGAGCATTGCTGGAGATGTCTCTTTGAAGGAGGTGATGTAGGGACCGTTAGTTAATTGTGAGGCAGCCAAAGAGAGTGGGACCAGAGGCCAGAGACCTACTTGCTCTTTAACAGGAAGGGCTTTCCTGGATTTACAAGCCTGTTCTCCTGGGATAAAACATTTTCCATGGCCCTCTGCCACCCCTGTGCAAGCATCTTCATTTTCCTGAATCCCGTGAAAACGCTCTTGAGAGGCCTTCCTGGATTTCCCAGAGAGGTCCGCATGACCTTTCTCTTACTAACATTCTACAAGGTGCAGCTGTGGCTTTCTCTTTTTTGTTTGTTTGTTTTTTCTGAGTTCCAAGGTCCAATCATGTCTTCTGCACCTAGTAGGTCCTTGATCCATAAGCACCAGAATGAACAAATAGGGAGAAGGATACACTGATGATAAAAGCATCACCATGTCTACCCGGCATCCACAAAGCCTGACTCTTTCTGATTTCCATGTCTTTTGATAAGCACGGGAAATGAATCTTGGAGACCAGTGTGCTAGATGCCATGCAATTACCCCGGCGGGGTGTCTGGCCTAGAGTCAGGGTCCAGTCAAAGGGGAGACCTCTTGCTGCCCTTGTCTCTTGATCCTGATTTGAATAAGGGATACTGCGTAGAGTTGTCTCACTGGTTTGCTCTTTTCTTGAAAGAAAAGTTTCTTCTTGGAAGGAACCTTCAGTTTTGCTCTACAGTGGGGAAGGTGAGACAGAGAGCTCAGGAAAGGTAAAGGTGGCATGTGTACATCATCTCAGCCACTGACAAAGGCATTGTGCCATCACCTGCTTTTCCTGGGATGGGGGGTGCTGGGCATTAGCCTTTGGATTAGGACCTCTATGGCTTACAATAAAATAAGGCAAAGAAAAATACAAAAATATGAATATATAAGGATGAGGAGATAAGGATACTGGATGGTAAGGAGGGGCTTTTGATATTCTATAAATAAATATACACACACACACACAACACCAACAGCATGTAATTATATGACGATTTGTTTTCAGGGAGGCAAGGGAGCTAAAATAATTGTATTTAATTTACCTGCAGCATTGCAGGAAACCCAAACAAAATCCTAGACATCTAGTTATATCTTACAACTTAAAAGAAAATTAAAGGAGTCTCATTTGGACTCCTGGAGGTCATGCTCTTTACATGAATATAAAAATAAAATAATTTTCAAGTGTTCAGACTGGGAGGAAGATGGGGGGAGCAAGTCCTTAGAGTTGTTTTCATTCCATCGCTCTTGCCACTGAGGAAGGTCAGTAGCACAGGTAAGTGGCATTCTGTGAACTCCATTTCATACGATTCAGACCAATCAGAAGCACAGTTCAGCTCCCTTTCAGACTGCTTTCTGAGCAAACGACACCCAAGCTGCACGCTAACCCAGGGCTCTAGGTAGAGCAGGAGGAGGATTTTTTTCCCCCTAACTCAGCAAGTGTACATTTCATGTTTACTTAAGTCTCATCCAAATGATACTCGACATTATGGATTTAATCATTTAGGTTGCATGTGTTGAAGTCTAACTTGGAAGCCCTACTTTATGCAAACCTGTTATTTGTAGATATGTTTTGTTTTTTGTTTTTTTTGAGACAGGGTTTCTCTGTGTAGCTTTGGAGCCTATCCTGGCACTTGCTCTAGGGACCAGGCTGGCCTCGAACTCAGAGATCCACCTGCCTCCCGAGTGCTGGGATTAAAGGCGTGCTCCACCAACTCCCGGCGTAGATATGTATTTTTAAAACACTCTCTTGAGAGGTTTATCCTAAGAGGGCTACTGCAATAAATAGGGTTTTCCAAGCCTTTTCAGTGTATACGTTAAAAGTATGCATAATTAGAATCTTAAAAGAATATTTTTTCTTCCCCCTAACAGGATTCTCTAACAAGTAGCAATACTGTTCTGTGATTCAGACTGGCATACCTACACTTTCTATGTATTTGAAATCCCTTATTGTAATCACTCAGCATGGCCTTGGAAAGAGCCAATATTTATGAATTTCATCCAAGTAGTTTAGAAGATCATTAATAGAATACAAAATAAATTGATCACTAACAGTTTCCCAGACCAGGTTCTGAGCACCTGACACACTCACTTTTCCTTTTCAATAGCTCAAGGAGCTGTGTGCTTCTAGAAATCCTAAGTTCACAAAGATAACTTGCTCAAATTATGTATGTGATAACTATTGAATATTGGCTTTGAAACCAAACATCTGTTTCCAGATTCAGCAGGGTTCTAAAAAGATAATTATTTTCATTGGTGATAATTGAAGTTTCATCGACTAAATTTTTTTAATATGAACTTATTGCCCCATGAAGAAGACACATGTGTGCCATGAGTGAGCAAGTTATTAAAATCTGCTGTTCTCCCTATATTTTATATAACCTCACTTTCTTTCCTTTTGATCCAAATCATTGACATTCTCCTAATTATAATAAAAGACATTGCAAAAATTTATTGTTAGGCCCTTCCAATTAGACGAGGGCATCGTAAAACTGTTGCTCCTACCCCTGAATATATGTAACAAAAGCTCATTTTTTTCTTTGTTATCTTTTTCTTTTTGTAATGTTTTCACAAGTTTACCTGAAGTTAAGGAAACGCAAGTCTACAGAACTAACAATACTAATATTGAGCTAAGTATGCATGATATGGAATATGAAGCAGTTAATAAAACTGGGTGTTTAAGGCAACAGACGAAAGAAAATGACAGCAAGCACTCATCCTTTGGGAAGTGTAGGAATGTCAGCATACCATAACTGTTTCCTTATTTATTTTTATTTTACATACATGATTTTCATACACTATATTTTGATCATGGTTGCCTTCCTCCACTCTTTCCAGATCCCCACCCACACATAATGATGAAAAAACACAAGACACATGTGTGCACACACAACAAAATCAGAAACCATAATATACAAGCAAAGGACCAGTAATATAAAAAATATCCAGACAAAATGTCTACAAAAATGCCACAAAAGGCCTTTTGTGCTGGCATTCTACTTTGGGGTTTAGGGCCTGCCCTTAACCATTGTTAATCTACCCGGTGAGATTGCATTGAAGAATTTTTCTTTTGCAAGTAAATGTCAACTGGAGACAACATCTTTGTTAGGGATGGAAGCCTCTGTCTGCGTCCCTCTCCCAGCACAGGGATTTGAACCTTTGCAAGTCCTGTGCATGCTCCATTTTATTTTGACTGATGTTGCTCTATGTCAGAAAAGGAAATGTTTGCTGAAGTTTGAAAAACGTTGTTTTTCAAACGTCATGTG